ATTGGTAACGCTGCTACTGGTGATGCTGCTACCGGTGTCTTTTTATTCTTTTTGCTTAATAATTGAATAATTTTATCACCGGCTTTTTCGCCTGCATATTCACCAGTTTTAGTAGCAGCTTTTTGAACGGCCTTTTTTGTTGCCGTTTTAGCAGCTTCCTTCATGGTCTTTCCAAACAACTTTCCGCCGATCGTTTTGAAAACATCGGTAACACCTTCTCCATAAATATGCTTCTTAACATATCTCCCGGTTTTAACATCATAACGTCTCTTAAATTCTGATTGTCTCATTGTATATTATTAGGTTAGATATTATGCTGGTTTGGATCGCAATATCAATGTCATAAACCAGTCAATCTTATTTAGTCCAATTGGTCGCCCTAGTGAATCTGTAATGTAAAACCTCATTTGTGAAATATTAAGCTGCGAAACTTCATTAAACAATAGTCTTCTGGGTTCAAATGTGAATGGGAAACTTCTTGTCAAATTGTCAGTTGGCAGGGCCGTAGCCAGGAAGAAACTACAACCGAGGCGAACACACGGTCCGTTGTACGAAATCAGCCGTATGAAATCTTCTAATATTATCAGTCTGATAAAAAAAATAAAAATCGACAGTATTTGGTAAAATTTTACCGAGGCGAGTGCCTCGGTTCGCCTCATACTGGCTACGGCGGTGGTTGGAATGACGGCTAACGTATTAGTGTTAACACCATTCAATATGCTGTTCGTAATGGCATCGGTATTGATACAGATCATGTCAATGGAATTTGTGATATTAGGTAGATTACCATCCCCATATTCTGTTTTCTTCACAATTTTCTCTGTAAATCCAATTAACTCGCCAAAATTTACTGTTTCTCAGATCCAGTTGGTAACTGTTGTCGATCTGAATGAGAATCTTATATTTGGACAATACAAATGTTAGATTAATGTAGTATACATCACCCTTTTTTGCATCAGTAGTTTTATGGCCTTTCTTTTTAATGTACTGATGGAGATAGTCATTTAGGTCTGAATAAGTGTACATCCCATCCACAAATTTGACGGTTTCCCATGATGTTCCACCATCAGTTGAGTATTTTATTTCATTATTTTGATACTGATCTGAAATATTATGCCAACTATAAGTCATAGTGGCCTTATCCAAGGCTATTTCATGTGTCATGTTATTTTGGAGTTTTAACACTGGATCAAATTTGATTAGGAAATCTTCTGCTTTATTCTGTCCGATTTTCTGTCTATCAGCAGATGAAATATGGTTTGCTCTTTCTTGCATTTATATTATTAGATTACATATTCCTTCAACAGACTATTAAGCTGGTTGTTATTTAGAACACCTAATTTGTTCAGTGTGTGAGCAATTTTAGAAAATTCATTTTTCACATCATTATTTCCAGCAAGTATTGAGCCACCTAACAATTCCAATCTGTCCAGTAAGTCAGCTGGGTTATTATAATAAACAACCCCTGAACCGATTTTTTTGTATTTATTACTTGTTCGGTGAACTGGAATATCACTTATCCTGTTCAGGTCATCAAATACCATTTTTGATAATGGTGAATACTTCTTTTTACTATTGAACCGCTTTGTGAGCAGATCAAGGGTATCAAAGTCCACTTGCTTATCATAGACTTTTTTACCATCCTTATGAGCAATTAGTTTAAGCTGGCCATAAAGTTTGGGCACGTCAATGGTTACATTTCCATAAACACCAGTATTAGGGTTAATCTTATAGACATTTCTCTTTTTTTGTGTATAAATACCCTGACCAACTTTCAATATTTTAACGCCTTCTTCTACAATACCAATTCGTTGTCTGTATTTTCTTATGATATCAATTCCTTCAGTATACTCGGCAATTTCATCCTTATTCTTCTTTCTAGCAGTTTTTGTTGTGCTTAAATGGGCTTTTTGCCGGCCTAATTCCTTATTTATTTCACCGGATTTATCCAGAATTTGTTTCGCATAATTTGGTTCCTTAACGGGTTCGTAAAAAGATGTCAGCCGGTAATGGCAATTGCTGGTTTTGTATGAATGCAATTCTTCTTGAATAAATCCTTTATTCATATCAGCTATCATTTTGGGTGCCACCTCACCACTTGGGCCTGGTAATGCTAATCTTTGAACTTGCTCAGCGTATGGGACAACTTGTTTATTAACATTTTCTCTCAATTTACTGATGTCCTCTATCTTTTTAACAAACTTTTCAGTTAGAGGTTTCAAGTCTTCAGACGTCTTTTCGTAAACATTCTGCTTATTAGTTCGAACTTCCTTTATAACATCCCTAACAACTTCAGTCATTTTTCCTGCTTCAATTTTAGGAATACTGAGTCTCTTGTCAATCTTTCAATATCTATTATACTATTGTGTTATATAAAACGTATCTCAACTTATCTGAACTTATCTTGAATTATCTAACATAATATTATATGGAGATTCCAAATTATGATTTCAATGAAGATGAAAATACAAACTTCAAACAACTGTATAAGTATATGCCCAAATCCAATTTTAGGATGCTAATATGCGGTAATTCAGGGCCAGGCAAAACAAACTTACTTTACCACATCCTTATGAAACCTTTAGTCTATTATGACCAGATCCATTTATATGGCAAAAACCTTGAACAGGAAAAGTATCGACACATGATAGAAACAATGAATGATATTAGTAGCCAGGTTGGATATGATAGAATGCACTGCAATAATGATGACATTAAACCTGTAAATAGTCTGGAGAGCGATGCCCAGAAAATTGTAATATTTGACGACTTCATTTGTGATAAGAACCAAAAGCCGCTTATCGATTATTTTATTCAAGGCCGGCATAAGAACTGCAGTGTTATTTACCTTTCACAATCATTTTATATACGTGCTAGCAGACGTCATCTCCATCTTTGTTTATGAAGTACCATGCATATTTTGGCGTTATATTAATGTTGACGAAGTAAGTTTAATTACTCTCAAAAAATTATTACAAAGTGCGATGGAATTATTACAAATTGCGACAGCTTCGTTTATTACAAAGTGCGATGGACAGTTGTTACAAATTGCGACAGCTTTTTTATTACAAAGTGCGACACGGTTTATTACAAATTGCGACAGGTATTACAACGTGCGATGGATTTATTACAAATCGCGACAGGTATTACAAAGTGCGATGATTATTACAAATTTCGACAGTACAACGGTCAGCTTTATTTTTGCACTTGCGGTTACCACCACAAACACTATATTAATATCATGCTGCATGGCCACTGCATCGTGGGCCCAGTTGGTTGATCATAAATTTCTAATATTTCACCAGTTTCTGGATTGTATCTTACTTGGTTTTCTAAATCATTGTAAGGCCCTGTATATTTATGCCCTGGTAAGGTCCATCCGCCTGCGGGTCTTGGTAATTTTCCAATGGCCTTGTGAATATCCAAAGCACCTCCATCAAGATCTTTCCTGTTTGTTTTGTAGTTTTTCTTTGGTCGTATTTTGTTGATAATTGGTTAAGAGCTTGAGAACCGACATTCTGGATCATTGGATTTAATTTGTCCAAAGCATAATCTATAGCTTTTTTCTGTAATTTAGGGTTTCTGAGCGCTTCTGACCCGTAATATCTCCCCCATCTCAATTCCTTTTTTACCCATCAATGGAAGCCCGTGATGTACCAACGCATCAAGAGCAGTACCAGCTACTGTGTCCATTACGCCTGCCCCTAGGACAGGCTGATCTAGTTTCCCTTCTTGACAAACTTAATTTTTTTTATTCCGCATTCAGCGCAAGTGCACCAAATCATGAGTCTACCATTTTTAGCTGTTTTATAACCCGAAGGTTCTACACATTCTGTTTGCTTCTTCTGTTTAACACAATAAGATTTCACCATTATTATATATTTATGTTATATAATTATTGTCTAATCACTATCACTACTGTCTGGAACATAAGTATCATGGCTGCTATCTGACTCATAATCACTTTCACTCAGGGGTTCACAGTTGCAGCACTCGAAACATCCATATTGATTCATATAATGCGGAGTAACTTCCTGGCAATAAACACAGAACTTTTCAGTCATCTTAATTGTATATATGGATTACATAAAATAGTTTATCAGAAATTGGTGATTTATCATTTGATTTGTAAAACTGAATTTGAGGTTATGTATAACGTCTAATAATGATTTCCCTTTCTCTCTCTCCAGGAGATAATATAAGCACCAATAACCAAACAAAACACTGTCTCTTTCTTGTATTTCATCTGATGAGTACACCATTTTTTTAACCACTTGTTTTCAGATAATATTTAATTTCATTGGGCATGATTAATCCAAACGGGTCAAAATATTCACAATATTGTTTATCCACGTTTCTATAACAAATCCAATGACTGCCCCCGCCCATTGAATCATCGAGATTAATTATTCCTGTTTCTAGTTTGTGTATTATTTCTGGTAAATTATCACGGCTGTAAATACCCCTGAAATATTTTATTCCTAATTGTGTAACCCATTGTAACAAATCAATATTCGATAATGGTTTGTTTATGAATCTAACAGTATTGTTCCTAGAATTGGGATTGAATTGAATGGACTGTTTTCTCCGAGCAGCAGTCCCTTTCCCTTTCTTTTTTTTTTTACTCCCGCACCAACCGGGTTTTCCCATGTTCCAAAGAAAGGTGGCGACATGTAGGGATACGGATTATACATTCCGTGGCCACTAGTTGTGTCGGGAACATAAACAGATGTTGTATTAGCGGAACCGGTTCTGTCAGCCTGCAGTCCTTTACCAAAGAGTTTTGAGGCTAATTCAATAGCGATAGGTATACCAATAGAAGCAAGGGCTCCAAGAAAACCCCCGTTAATTTGTTTTTGTGTTGGTCTGATAACTAATCCGTTGCCAGTTTGGAGAGACTTAAGAATATCCTTTTTCTGCCCCGTGGTCAGTAAATGTTTGTATGCAACCAATTGTGCTATTTTGTCCATTGGAATAAGAAAACCTACTCGTTGACCTTTTCAGAATATTTTATCCACACCGAGACTGGCTAATCCTGATAACGCTCCTGTTGCAAGGGGTGCGATAGCTTTTTTGGCTAATGGCATTTCCATAGGTAGTACCTTGCTTCCTAAACTGATTAATGATCCCCACAAACTACCACCCTGTCTAACAGCCTTTCTGATTTGTGTTTTTGAAATTTTGATATCCGATCCTGTACCCTGGCTCATTGCTTTTTTCAATTTATTGATCTGAGTTTTTGTGAGCATTAATTCATGTGGTCCGGATAACTCATTTCTGGCTAATCTGATAGTTATTGCTGAGTTATTATTGTAAGCTCTCGAGAGCTTTTCCAATTGTCCTTTACTAAGTGACACACCATAAGGATAATATTTTGTCATTACTTAAATATAATATATGTTACATAATTTTAACCATATTCAATTTACGATCTGAGTATTATTTTACCATCTTTCTGAATTAGCTCAACATCTTGCTCATATAATGTTAATGCGTAAATTGAGTAGGCTGCTGCCGTTGTTCCAGATAGCTCATATTTGAATGTCAGTTTTGTGGTGCCATCCTTAATGTCCATTTTCTGTTTTGTTAAGTCGAAATGTAAGAAGGGGAATAGCGTACTAGAATTAGATTTATTGAGTAATGACCCTTCACCGTATTCATTATTTTTGTGAACATATTTCAACACATCCCTGAAGACTCTAGACATATCAGTAGTTGGTGTGTAATGTATTTCGTGGTATTCGTTACCATTTCCAACTTCCAGGTGACAATTGGATAAGGTTCTTGGGTCAGTCGATACAGAGAATGTATTGTACAAGAATGGGTTCTGTGTCTGGGCATCGATATTCGCATCATTGATTATGAATACAAACACGTGTCGGGGTTTCGAAATACCAGAAGAGATTCTGAAATGCCCAGCTCTCTGCTGGCTGCTATTTGATCTTTCATATTCTCTCTCAAATATGTCCACTAATGATTTTTAAGGTATTGACTCATGTAGGATGATTGTCCTTCACTGTTAAAGGTTATTCGTGGGACATATAATTGCATCCTAGTGATAACCACTCTGCAATCAGCCCCGGCTTGCCAAATTAGATTACCATCTGACTCAATCTCAAAATTCATCTCAACTCTTGTATTAGGTAACAGCTCATCTTCTAACATTTCGAAAAACGAGTATCTATTCAGTGGTATTTCTGTATTTACTGTCGATGAGACTCCCAAAAGTTCTTTTCGAAGGGCAAAACCCTTATGGTAAGCTGCTCTTCTTTTGGCTAAATGATTTGTGCTACTAACTTCAAATTCCCGCTCTTCTGCATTTCTGGATGTATCAAGATAGAAAAACTCATTACTAGCTGTCTTATCAGCGTAAGATGGACTGTACTCAAGTAAGTTCTTAATATTAACCGCGTGATTCGCGTCATTGCAATCATACACTTTCTTACCATTGATCTTAATATCAAAATGTTTCAACAGTGAGTACGACCCGTTTACAATACCACTATGATCTGCTACTGCAATGTTGCCACCATTAGCCAGCAAGACCACGTTAAAATCAAGACTGATACGAGCATTATACCAGTCAAATGGTGTAACCCTACCACTGTTATCAACAACAAATCTGTAGCCATCTTTCTTTTGGTGAGCATTATTGGCGACAGTTGTATTTAGTGCTGTTTCTAGGTCAAAAATAACATCTTCATATCGTTCAACATAGTTTGGATCTCTAAATGATTTCATATATTAATAGATTACATAAATCTTCTCATCTGACCCCCTCCCCCTGATAATAATTGATTCACCCTCTCATTAATCTCGTAATCGCTTAGCTCTCTTGATTGTGGATTTTCTATTGGTAACGCTGCTACTGGTGATGCTGCTACCGGTGTCTTTTTATTCTTTTTGCTTAATAATTGAATAATTTTATCACCGGCTTTTTCGCCTGCATATTCACCAGTTTTAGTAGCAGCTTTTTGAACGGCCTTTTTTGTTGCCGTTTTAGCAGCTTCCTTCATGGTCTTTCCAAACAACTTTCCGCCGATCGTTTTGAAAACATCGGTAACACCTTCTCCATAAATATGCTTCTTAACATATCTCCCGGTTTTAACATCATAACGTCTCTTAAATTCTGATTGTCTCATTGTATATTATTAGGTTAGATATTATGCTGGTTTGGATCGCAATATCAATGTCATAAACCAGTCAATCTTATTTAGTCCAATTGGTCGCCCTAGTGAATCTGTAATGTAAAACCTCATTTGTGAAATATTAAGCTGCGAAACTTCATTAAACAATAGTCTTCTGGGTTCAAATGTGAATGGGAAACTTCTTGTCAAATTGTCAGTTGGCAGGGCCGTAGCCAGGAAGAAACTACAACCGAGGCGAACACACGGTCCGTTGTACGAAATCAGCCGTATGAAATCTTCTAATATTATCAGTCTGATAAAAAAAATAAAAATCGACAGTATTTGGTAAAATTTTACCGAGGCGAGTGCCTCGGTTCGCCTCATACTGGCTACGGCGGTGGTTGGAATGACGGCTAACGTATTAGTGTTAACACCATTCAATATGCTGTTCGTAATGGCATCGGTATTGATACAGATCATGTCAATGGAATTTGTGATATTAGGTAGATTACCATCCCCATATTCTGTTTTCTTCACAATTTTCTCTGTAAATCCAATTAACTCGCCAAAATTTACTGTTTCTCAGATCCAGTTGGTAACTGTTGTCGATCTGAATGAGAATCTTATATTTGGACAATACAAATGTTAGATTAATGTAGTATACATCACCCTTTTTTGCATCAGTAGTTTTATGGCCTTTCTTTTTAATGTACTGATGGAGATAGTCATTTAGGTCTGAATAAGTGTACATCCCATCCACAAATTTGACGGTTTCCCATGATGTTCCACCATCAGTTGAGTATTTTATTTCATTATTTTGATACTGATCTGAAATATTATGCCAACTATAAGTCATAGTGGCCTTATCCAAGGCTATTTCATGTGTCATGTTATTTTGGAGTTTTAACACTGGATCAAATTTGATTAGGAAATCTTCTGCTTTATTCTGTCCGATTTTCTGTCTATCAGCAGATGAAATATGGTTTGCTCTTTCTTGCATTTATATTATTAGATTACATATTCCTTCAACAGACTATTAAGCTGGTTGTTATTTAGAACACCTAATTTGTTCAGTGTGTGAGCAATTTTAGAAAATTCATTTTTCACATCATTATTTCCAGCAAGTATTGAGCCACCTAACAATTCCAATCTGTCCAGTAAGTCAGCTGGGTTATTATAATAAACAACCCCTGAACCGATTTTTTTGTATTTATTACTTGTTCGGTGAACTGGAATATCACTTATCCTGTTCAGGTCATCAAATACCATTTTTGATAATGGTGAATACTTCTTTTTACTATTGAACCGCTTTGTGAGCAGATCAAGGGTATCAAAGTCCACTTGCTTATCATAGACTTTTTTACCATCCTTATGAGCAATTAGTTTAAGCTGGCCATAAAGTTTGGGCACGTCAATGGTTACATTTCCATAAACACCAGTATTAGGGTTAATCTTATAGACATTTCTCTTTTTTTGTGTATAAATACCCTGACCAACTTTCAATATTTTAACGCCTTCTTCTACAATACCAATTCGTTGTCTGTATTTTCTTATGATATCAATTCCTTCAGTATACTCGGCAATTTCATCCTTATTCTTCTTTCTAGCAGTTTTTGTTGTGCTTAAATGGGCTTTTTGCCGGCCTAATTCCTTATTTATTTCACCGGATTTATCCAGAATTTGTTTCGCATAATTTGGTTCCTTAACGGGTTCGTAAAAAGATGTCAGCCGGTAATGGCAATTGCTGGTTTTGTATGAATGCAATTCTTCTTGAATAAATCCTTTATTCATATCAGCTATCCTTTTGGGTGCCACCTCACCACTTGGGCCTGGTAATGCTAATCTTTGAACTTGCTCAGCGTATGGGACAACTTGTTTATTAACATTTTCTCTCAATTTACTGATGTCCTCTATCTTTTTAACAAACTTTTCAGTTAGAGGTTTCAAGTCTTCAGACGTCTTTTCGTAAACATTCTGCTTATTAGTTCGAACTTCCTTTATAACATCCCTAACAACTTCAGTCATTTTTCCTGCTTCAATTTTAGGAATACTGAGTCTCTTGAATCTTTCAATATCTATTATACTATTGTGTTATATAAAACGTATCTCAACTTATCTGAACTTATCTTGAATTATCTAACATAATATTATATGGAGATTCCAAATTATGATTTCAATGAAGATGAAAATACAAACTTCAAACAACTGTATAAGTATATGCCCAAATCCAATTTTAGGATGCTAATATGCGGTAATTCAGGGCCAGGCAAAACAAACTTACTTTACCACATCCTTATGAAACCTTTAGTCTATTATGACCAGATCCATTTATATGGCAAAAACCTTGAACAGGAAAAGTATCGACACATGATAGAAACAATGAATGATATTAGTAGCCAGGTTGGATATGATAGAATGCACTGCAATAATGATGACATTAAACCTGTAAATAGTCTGGAGAGCGATGCCCAGAAAATTGTAATATTTGACGACTTCATTTGTGATAAGAACCAAAAGCCGCTTATCGATTATTTTATTCAAGGCCGGCATAAGAACTGCAGTGTTATTTACCTTTCACAATCATTTTATAAAACTCCAAAAGATATCAGATTGAACTGCAGTCATTATGTAATTTATGATTTCCCTAGCAGTAATGAGAGAAATATGATTTCTAGAGAGCTGAATGTGACAAAGGATCAGTATATTAAAGCCACTAAACAGCCGTACTCATTTCTGTACGTTGACAAACCAATGAAGACTGTCAAAAGAAACTTTTACGGAAATATCTAATATACTATTATAAAATGGGAATTTTTAATCAGCAACCTAATTATAATCAATCATACTCAAAAGGAAAAGGCGGCATTACTGGCCCTCAAGGACCTCCTCGCCCGCCTGGCCCCACTGGTGCTCAGGGTATTCCCCGCCCTACTGGTGCTCAGGGTAACCAAGGTCCAAAAGGTGATCAGGGTATTCAAGGACCCAAAGGTGATCAAGGTGCTACTGGTCCTACTGGCCCTAAAGGTGCTACTGGTGCATCAGGCACCGGTTTTAATCTCACATCAGATGGGAATTACGAAATATAAAACAAAAAGCTGACAAGTGTTGCTAAAGAGACTGCTTCCAATGATGCCGTAACAAAAAATCAACTTGATACTAAACTATCACTTTCTGGTGGATTAATGACCGACAATTTGGATATGAATAATAATAGGATATACGGTGTAGCACAACCAGATGGTGATAATCAACCAGCTACAAAAATTTGGTCAGAAAATAAATTCCTGGATAAATCCAGTGGAGTTATGGCTGGACCACTAAACATGTCCAATAATAAAATTATTCATCTTGCTAATCCTACAGCCGATAAGGATGCTATATCCCGTGTATTCGGTGATGGACGGTATGTTAAAAAAGATGGAGATACAATGACTGGTGATTTAGCATTGGGTGGCAATTATATAACTGGATTGAAATCAAAACAAACAGATTATGCTACAAATCAACCCGATCTATGACAAGAATTCATTGATTGGAAAAATGCTAAATGGGAAGATAGAACAGACAATAATTTTTTTAAGGCTTATGATAAATGGATAACATATGATGACTATGCCACGCCATTTTATTTTATAAAATACCTACAATTGTTTTGGCAGTTATAGCGTGATGGAGATTATGTTACAATAAACACTTTTCAGGTATTAACTAATAAATCGAGACAAACACCACCATCTGACTCCCAGACAGGCAATAAATATTTTAACCTATTTGGCATGATTGCCACAAATATGGAAGACCCAACTGATGCTACTGATGGGGGTTAATAAACAGTATTTGGAAAAAATCGCATGTTAAACCCAGCCATTAAAATAATGAATTCAAGTACCTGATAACTAATAGATTAGCATGGACTGATCTCGAACCGAATAACATCGATAGTTTTGACATTACTAAAATTGATAATTTAATACCCCAAAATGGTAACTACCATAAATACAACCATAAAGTTCTATATACAACCATTATAAAAGATAAGCAAGGAGCATACTCTTTTAAAATGGGAATCAATTGTTATCAACTTGATAAAGATTATACTCTGTGTATTGAAATCCTCAATTCAGATTACCAATTATGGCATAAATCAGTTGTTACAATTGATAAAACCACATCAAAGGGAGTATCAGTTGCTGGTTTTAGGGTACAAAAGTTTTCTCACCGGTACACAAATAGTAATGGGAACACTGCATATATGTATTATATCAAAATAATTGTAAACTTTCAAAAAACTGTATCAGGTACATTTTACAGTCTGGATCTTTATGTTAATATACCACAGAAGGGCATTGATCTCAATAATTATGCAAAAAATTGGACAAATAACTGGATGATTGCTTATGGTGTTTTCGGAAAAGTGTCATCGATTGATCCTCAAAAAACGTACGATTACCACACAGCATTTGATATCAAACCAACAGAAGTTGTTTACAATGTAGATCTGGCCAGTATCACGCGTAGCAACTCGCTCTCGTACTGACCCTGATTGGTCCCTTCTCGGGACTATTCTTGAACTCCGTCTCCACCGTACCTTCGTGGTCCAAACTGAGAAGGGTTCAGTACTCATTCGGAACAGAAGATACTTAAAGCCTGTTCACTGACCGTTGTTCTTTAACGTTCCCGTTTTGTCGCCTGCTTCAGCGGGGTGGGGGGCGATGCTGCCGTGCTCGGTTATGATGGGGAAGGGAATATGTGGTGTTTCCTACTTAGGGTCTGGGCACGAGCTAGAGACATACATTCATACATATTTTATTATCTTTCCCAAAAGGGCTTTTCAAAGACAATATGCATGGGATGTGAGCACGTGGATGTGAACCAAACAAGGAGGAGGC